TGCTATGATGTGCACTGACCACCAGGGGCCAGATGCTCAATGTGGGAGCTGTCCCCCTGTGGTCAGTGTGCTCCCACAGACAACCTCCCGTGGCCAGCCAACCTCTTGTGGTCCCTCCCTCCAGCCAGCCAGCCCTGATTGGGGCCAACCAGCCAATCTCCCACTGTCCCTGCCCCCGGCTGGCCAGCCATGATTAGCCCAGATTGCCGGCCAGGCCAAGGGACCCCACCCGTGCATGAATTCATGCACCGGGCCTCTTGTAGACTTATAATTGGCCACTGAATGCTTCATGTGCTAACTATATTGTCAGTGTAACTGATTGATTTTATTTTCTCCACAAATCTCTCATTAGAAGGCCAAAACTGAAAGTGTTTGTTTTTATATTTATTCTTATGGTTGACTTTGTAAAATTGGGATGAAATCTCCTAAGCCTGTTATAAGCTGTTTTATAACAGGTACACCACATATGTAAATAATAATTATTTTATTTAGCATCTTGGTTTTTAGTCAAAAACTTCCCTGTTGTACAACATCAACTTTTACTAAAAAATAGCAACAGCTATTGTGAATGTCTGGTAAAACACATTGCTCACAAAAATGACACTTTATTATGAAATAGTGACAATTTATGGTAGTAGTGACAGTATACTATGGTAGTAATTTTGATATTCCAGTAATTGAGTAGAAAATAAACATATATTAATGCATTAAGGAGATAATACATCAGAATTATATTTAATTATAATAATAATATTCTTATAATCCTTTGTGTTAACACCATGAAAATTGTGTGAATGAACAACAAAGACCCATTTAAAATAATTTTTATACCTGTTTCTTTAGTCATTTCTACTTTAAATCAGTATACAGAAACACACACACCAAACTGAATAAAAGGACATAAATTAATATACTGAATGGTGATAGGTAGTTAAAATTATAATGTATGTGTAGACCATCAATAATAGACTCTAAGTTAATTTTTTAACATAAAACTTTATTCTGAAATATCATGTACCGGGAAATAAGAGAAAAATCAAATTTATATTAAATTTGGCAAGTATGCCATGTTACACACACACACACACACACACATACACACACACACACACACACATATATATGTGTGTGTGTGTGTATGAATAAGTTAAATGTTAATTACCATAACTTCATTGATATGGAAGCACAATTACTAATTACCATGCCTGCCACTTTCTTTTACTGTAACGTCCTCACTCTAAATCTCCCACTAGTCATTTTTTTAAGAATCTCCCACTAGTCATTTTTTTAAGTCTAAAGTATTCTTTTTTAAAATATATTTTTATTGATTTCAGGGAGGAAAGGAGAGGGAGAGAGAGATAGAAACATCAATGATGAGAGAGAATCATTGATCGGCTGCCTCCTGCACGCCCCACACCAGGGATCAAGCCCTCAACCTGGGCATGTGACCTTCTGGTTCATAGGCTGAAGCTCAACTACTGAGCCACTACGACTGGGCTAAAGTATTCTTCAAAGCATTGTTCAAAATGCAACTTCCCTGAAGTCCTTGGATTTCTCCACCTATATGTAAAACTTCCCTTCTCTTAATTCTCTCAGTAGATAACAGGCATTCTACTGTGTATTAACTGATATAAGCAGGTCTCCTCTCCTGCAAGGCTGCAAGCACCTCCAGAAGATGCGTGCATCTTGTTTATTTTTTTAATTTACCTTTATTGTTGAAAGAATTATAGATGTCCCCTTTGATTTTTTTTCCAATTGAACTCTTCCACCCAGCAACCATCCCTTCCAGGCCTTCACCACACTATTATCTGTATCCATGGGCTATGCTATATGCATATAAGTTCCCTGTTTAATCTGTCTTTACCCACCCACCCTCATCTTCCCTCTGAAATTCTTCAGTGTATTCCATGCTTCGATGTCTATGGATCTATTTTGTTCATCAGTTTATTTTGTTCATTAGATTCCACATATGAGTGAGATCATGTGATACTTGTCTTTCTCTGACTGGCTTATTTCACTTAGCATAATACTCTCCAGGTCCATCCATGCTGTTGCCAATGGTAAGAGTTCCTTCTTTTTTATAGCTGTGTAATATTCCATTGTGTAGATGTACCACAGATTTGTATCCACTCATCTGCTGATGGGCACTTGCACTGTTTCTAAATCTTAGCTATTGTAAATTTTGTTGCTATGAACATAGGGCTGCATTTGTACTTTTTAATTGTAGTTTCTGGTTTCTTTGGATATATTATTAGAAGTGGGATCACTCAGTCAAATGGAAATTCCATTTTTAACTTTTTGAGGAAACTCCATACTGTATTCCACAGTGACTGCACTAGCCTGCATTCCCACCAGAAGTCCAAGAGAATTCCTTTTTCTCCACATCTTTGCCAGCACTTGTCATTTGTTGATTTGTTGATGATAACCATTCTGACAAGTGTGAGGTGATACATCATTGTCCTTTTAATTATTTGCATCTCTCTGATTAGTGACCTTGATAATTTTTTCATATGTCTATTGCGTATCTGTATGTCCTCTTTGGAGAAGTGTCTATTTAGGTCCTTCACCGATTTTTAAATTGGATTGTTTTCCTGGTGTTGAGTTGTGTAAGTTCTTTATATATTTTGGAAATTAACCCCTTATCAGATGTAGCATTGGTGAATATGTTCTTCCATATAGTGCGTCCTCTTTTCATTTTGTTGATGGTTTCTTTGCTGGTCAGAAGCTTTTTAGCTTTATGTACTCCCAATTGTTTATCTTTTCCTGAGTTTTCCTTGCCCTCTGAGATATTTCAGCAAATATATTGCTGCCAGAGATGTCTAAGATTTTGCTGTCATGTTTTCTTCTATAATTTTTGTGGCTTCACAACTTACATTTAAATCTTTTATCCATTTTCATTTTATTCTTGTGTATGGTGTTGGTTGGTGATCTAGTTTCTTTTTCTTTTTTTTCTTTTTTTTCCATGTATGTGTCCGATTTTCCCTGCACCACATATTGAAGACACTGCCTTTACTCCAGTGTATGCTATTTCCTCCTTTGTCAAATATTTATTTATTTATTTATTTTTTCTTCACTGGGAGGAGAGGGGGAGGAGACTGTCAAATATTTATTGACTGTAAAGATGTGGGTTGATTTCTGGGTTCTCTGTTGTTTCACTGTTTATATAATTGTTCTTATGTCAGAACTCGGCTATTTTCATTACAATGGCTTGCAGTATAGTTTGATATTTGGTATTGTAATACTTCCAACTTTGTTCTTCTCTCTCAAGATTGCAAAGGCTATTTGGGTCTATTTTGGTTCCATATAAATTTTTGGAATGTTTTTCTATGTCTTTGAAACATGACCTTGGTATTTTAAAAGGAGTTGCATTGAACCTATGGATTGCTTTGGGTAGTATGGACATTTTGAGGTTAATTCTTTTTTAAAAATTTCTTTTTTTAAATATTTATTGTTGAAAGTATTACATAGGTCCTCCTTTTCCCCCCATTAACCTCTTCCAGTCCACTTCCATTTTCCCCTGCCCAGGCCCTTACCACCCCAATGTCTGTGTTCATGGATTATGCCTATACACATACAAGTTAATTGGTTGATCTCTTCCCATCCACTCTCTCCTGACTTCCCTCTGAGGTTCAACAGTCTGTTCATGCTTTTATGACTCTGGGAATGATGTTAATTCTTCTACTTTGTGAACGTGGATATCCTTCCACTTATTTGTATATTTCTTAACTTTTTTCATTTTGAATAACGCATGTCTATATATTTTATTATTATTATCTTTTGTTGTTGACAGTATTATAGATATCCCCCAATTTCCTTGCCCACTTTAATCTGCCTCCTCCCAGCCCCTGTTCTACCCCAGGCTTTAAGATGCTATTGTCTATGTCCATTGGTTATTCATATTTGTATATAAGTACTTTGGTTAAGCTCTTCCCATCTGCCTCCCTCCCCTCTGAGATATGTCAGTCTGTTCCATACCTCCATGCCTCTGGACCTATTTTGTTTGTTAATTTATTATTTCATTAGATTCCATTTTAAGTGAGATCATGTGATATTCATCTTTCTCTGACTGATATTCCTAAATTTATTTCTTCAATATCAAATAATTTTCCCAGTACAGGTCTTTTACCTCCTTGGATAAATTTATTCCCAGGTACCCTATTATTGCAATAGTAAATGGGGTTGATTTTTTAGTTTATCTTTCTGATAGTTCATTATCGGTGTATAAAAATGCCATTGATATCTGGATGTTGATTTTGTAGCCTGCATCTTTGTGGAATTCATTTATTAGATCTAGTAGTTTTCTATATACAATATCATGTCATGTGCAAATAATGTCAGTTTTACTTCCGACTTTCTGATTTGTATGCCTTTTATTTCTTCTTCTTGCCTGACCACTAAGACTAGAACTTCCAGTACTATGTTGAGTAAGAGTTGTGAGAGCAGACATCCCTGTCTTGTTCCTGATCTTAGGGGAAACACTTTTAGTTTTTGCCCATTGAATATGATGTTGGCTGTTTTTCACATGTGGCCTTTATTATGTTGAGGTATGATCCTTTTATTCCCACTTTGCTGAGAGTTTTTATCATAAATTGGTGCTGGATTTAATTGAATGATTTTTCTGCATCTATTGATATGGTCATGTGATTTTTATCTTTCATTTTATTTACGTAATATATCACATTTATTGATTTGCAAATATTGTACCAAACTTGATCCCCAGAATAAATTCTACTTGACCGTGGTATTTGATTCTTCTTAATTTATTGCTGGATTTGATTTGCTAATATTTTGTTGAGGGTTTTAGCATCTATGTCCAGCAGGGATATTGGAGTATAATTCTCTTTCTTTGTAGTGTCTTTATCTTGTTTTGGTATTAGGATAATTTTGGCCTTGTAAAAGAGCTTGGAAGGCTTCCCTCTTCTTGAATTTTTTGGAGTAATTTGAAGAGGATGTGTGTTTATATAATTGGTTCTTACCATTGTTCAATATCCCTCTAACAGGTACCACTACAATAGAAAAATATGACCTCAGGACCAATACCTGGTTACATATTGGCACCATGAATGGCCGTAGGCTTCAGTTTGGAGTTTCAGTTATTGATAATAAGCTCTATATTGTGGGAGGAAGAGATGGTTTAAAGACTTTGAATACTGTGGAATGTTTTAATCCAGTTGGCAAAATCTGGAGTGTGATGCCTCCCATGTCAACACATAGGCACGGCTTAGGTAAGAATTTAATGTTATATGGTTTATAAAGAATGTATATTTCACAGAACTATTTAAAAATTAAATTCAGCTGCACATTATTGGGATGTAGCAAATCCTGTAGTCAAAATGTCTCCAAAATGCAAATAGTCAAAGCCTTTAAAACTTTTTTTCTTGTTTCAGATGTCATACTTGTTACAATGGATAAAAACTTTGAGAAGGATTACATTATTGAGGAACACAAAACTACAATAGTTTTGTTCCAAACTCAATTTAGAGGAAAGAGCACTTGATAATGGAGAGACGTGTTTCTAGTTAGATGAATCATGTTCTTTTCTATAATAGGCAAATCTATATTTCAGCAAAAAGCCTATGATGCAGATCCAAGGCAGGGAAAAACCACTTCAGTTGAGAGCAGCTCTAAGTTATATGTAATCCAGAGTTTATAAAAAAGTTTAGGAAAGATGCAGTGGAGACATCTAGAACAGTGGAGAACTTTGATTCTCCTAAATATCTGTTAGGGTATATCTTTGTTCTTACTAGTCTTCATACATTTTCAATATCATAGTCTTTTGAAAAAAAATAAACATAATAATTTCCTTGTTACTTTTATTTATTGATTAAGGTATTACATATGTGCTTCTATTCCCCCAGTGCCCCCCCGCCTCATGCCCTCACCCCCTGGTGTCCATGTCCATTGGTTATGCTTATATGCATGCATATAAGTCCTTTGGTTGATTTCTCCCCCTTACCCCCACCCTCCCCTACCTTCCAGAACTAGTTTTACACAGCTAAAAAGTGGCAGACCCAGGTCTGGTGTCATTTGCCCCCAAATTATCTGATAAATAGTCTATTTCAAATGTATGATTATATTAATTATATTCAGCTCAGTTGTGTCAGTGATTCAAAGACATAGCTTAGAAAATATATCTTACAGAGAAATCAGAGCAAGTTTTAAAATATATTGATGTTACTAAAGAGATAGGATAGGTGATGAGGATATATCTGAGAGCTCATTGAGATGGTAAAGAAGGTGGGGGCAGGGGGGACTCATGTATTCCCAGAGCAGTTGAGAAGCAGTTAGAAGGGGTATTTATAGTATCTAATATAACACATTTGTAAATACTCCTCAAAAACCCTATCTATTTAGTTATCTGATGAGAACCTTTTTTATCCCTATAATCTTAACAGGCATTAGAAGGACAACAGTTAGCCTACATTTCTAAGATTTATCTAAGATTCAGTGTCATATCTCATCTACTTCTTACTTTAAAAATGGCATTGAAATTATGCCAGAAAAACCAATTTCCCTTATCTATCACATCCTCAGAAATGATGTGTTCCACTACCTCCTTTGGCTTCAGTATGACAACAATGATACATTTCCATGATAACGGTAATTATGCCTGAAAATTTTCTTGGATTAAAATATCATATTTAGTTTCATATCAAGATCAGTAAATTATTCATGTGTACACAAAATCATTTAAGAAACTAAAACAAATTTTTAATCAGTTTGTTGCTTGCATATAATAACCATTATATGTATCATACCTAGGTGGGCCCTCATGCTGTTTTTATTCTTTAGGTGTAGCCACACTTGAAGGACCAATGTATGCTGTTGGTGGTCATGATGGATGGAGTTATCTAAATACTGTAGAAAGATGGGACCCTGAGGGACGTCAGTGGAATTATGTGGCTAGTATGTCAATTCCTAGAAGCACAGTTGCTGTTGCTGCATTAAACAACAAGTGAGTAACCTAAAACGTGCATGGTCTTTGCTCCTAGGTCATGTACTACAGCACTTCATTGATGTGATCCATCAATCAAAAAGCATTCCCAGGCCCTAGCCAGTTTGGCTCAGTGGATAGAGCATTGGCCTGTAGACTGAAGGGTCCTGGGTTCGATTCTGGTCGAGGGTATGTATCTCGGTTGCAGGCTTCTGGCCTTTGTTGGGGGCATACGGAAGGCAACCAATTGATGTGTCTCTCTTATATCAGTGTTTCTCTCTGTGTCTCCCTCTCCCTTCCATTCTCTAAAAATCAATGGAAAAAAATATCCTCAGGTGAGGATTTAAAAAAAAAAAAAGCATTCCGAATGACCAGAATATCCTAGTTATCCTATATAATAAAAGCCTAGGTGGTATCACACCCTTGCGTGATGCCCTTGAGCGACATCATCACAAGATGGCCACCACAAGATGGCCAGCAAGAGAGGGCAGTTGTGGGTGATCAGGGTGGCAGGAGAGGGCAGTTGGAGGCAAACAGGCCAGCAGGGGAGGGCAGTTGGGGGCGACCAGGCCTGCAGGGTAGGGCAGTTGAGGGCAATCGGGCCAGCAGCGGAGGGCAGTTGGGAGCAATCTGGCTGGCAGGGGAGTTCAGTTGGGGGTGATTGGACCAGCAGGGGAAGGCAATTGGGAGCCATCGGGCCAGCAGGGCAGGGCAGTTGGGGGTGATCAGGCTGCCAGGGGAGGGCAGTAGGGGGCTATTGGGCCAGCAGGGGAGCAGTTAGGTGTCAATCAGGCCGGCAGAGGAGCGGTTAGGGAGCAATCAGGCTGGCAGGCAGGTGAGCGGTTAGGAGCCAGCAGCCCCAGATTGTGAGAGGGATGTCCAACATCCCCCAAGGGGTCTCAGATTGGATAGGGTGCTGGCTGTGTTGAGGGACAACCCCACCCCCTGTGCACGAATTTCATGCACTGGGCCTCTAGTCAATTATAACAGGCTTTTCTAAGAGACGTATGAGAAAATGCTCAAAGTCCCTAATCATCTAAGAGATGGAAATTAAAATGAAAATGAGGTATTACCTCACACCTGTCAGAAAGGCTGTCATCAATAAATCAACAAATGACAAGTGCTGGCAAAGATGTGGAGAAAAGAGAACCATGGTACACTGCTAGTGGGAAGGCAGACTGGTGCAGCCACTGTTCAAAACAGTATGGAGTTTCCTCAAAAGGAACTCCCATTTGACCGAGTGATCCCACTTCTAGGAATATATCCTAAGAAATCAGAAACATCAATCAGAAAGAATATATGCACCGCAAGTTTATAGCAGCACAATTTACAGTAGCTAATATTTGGAAACAGCCCAAGTTCCCATCAGCATGTAAGTGGATAAAAAGCTATGGTACATTTACACCCGTGATGACGAACCTTTTGAGCTCGGCGTGTCAGCATTTTGAAAAACCCTAACTTAACTCTGATGCTGTGTCACATATAGAAATTTTTTGATATTTGCAACCATAGTAAAACAAAGATTTATATTTTTGATATTTATTTTATATATTTAAATGCCATTTAACAAAGAAAAATCAACCAAAAAAATGAGTTCGCGTGTCACCTCTGACATGCGTGTCATAGGTTCACCATCACTGATTTACACAGTGGAATACTATGCAGCTATAAAAAAAGAACTTTTACCATTGGCAACAGGTTTGATGGACCTGGAGAGTATTATGCTAAGTGAAAGAAGCCCATCAGAGAAAGACAAGTATCACATGATCTCATTCATATGTGGAATGTAATGAACTGATGAACAAAATAGATCCAGAGATATAGAAGCATTGAACAGACTGATGGATTTCAGAGGGAAGGTGGGGGTAAGGGATGGGTTGGGAGTGATTAACCAGGGAACTTATATGCATATATGGACACAGACAATAAAGTGGTGAAGGCCTGGGAGGGGCAGGTGTGGGGTGGATCAATGGGGGGAAAAAAACTAAGTGGACATCTGTAATACTTTCAACAATAAAGAGAAAAAGAATAATAACAGGACTTTGTTGGTATTCCTCCTTTATTATGATGGAAATACTTGTCTAAAATGAACATTTAATTAAATATTCTATAGTCTCTTGCTATTCAAATGTGGTCCTGGGACTAAGAGTGTCAGCATCACCTAAAATCTACTATTTAGAAATGCTGAATCCTAATCCCACTCTGGAACTTTCGAATCATAATAGGCATTTTAAGAAGATCATCAAGTGACTCCTTGTGCTCATTAAATTTGAGAAGCACTTCTGCATTCAAACCAATCCCAGCTTTACATTCAAGAAGCCTCCATTTATTACATAATAACTTATTTTTGACTTATCAAGACTTTGGCTGTCTTCGTAATAGGGCAAGTTTTTTTTTTCTTTACCATATACCAGGGGTGGGCAAACTTTTTGACTCGAGGGCCACAATGGGTTCTTAAACTGGACCGGAGGGCCGGAACAAAAGCATGGATGGAGTGTTTGTGTGAACTAATATAAATTCAAAGTAAACATCATTACATAAAAGGGTACGGTCTTTTTTTTTTTAGTTTTATTCACTTCAAACTGGCCGGATCCGGCCCGCTGGCCGTAGTTTGCCCACGGCTGCCATATACTGTCTTGAGTATTTAGGGTTCCCAACTCTAGAATCACATTTGGTCCCATCTTTCTAAACCTTTCCTACTTCCTGATCACTTGCCTATAAGAACAAGCTAATATATTAAAACCCAATGATGTTAGAGGTTGCTAGAAGTTGAATTTATTATTTATTTCAATTAATTGTATGTGCTTTCTGACAAGGGACCTTTGGAGACAAGGACCAACCAGCATATAGGAGGGACTTGAATGAAGAGAAACTCAGACATGAGGATGGAACAGTGGCAGAAGACAGCCTTGTGTGTCGGTACTGACTATGCATCAGGCCAATACGCACATAAATGGGCTCAGTAGATGGATATGCGTCTTATGCAAGAAAACGTAGGGAATGTCTATAGTTAAGGGGAGACCTAGCCTTAGAGCTTAAAATACTCTGAAATCTGTTTATCCTGGCCTCAACTGAATGATTACCAGGTGACTCAGTAACAATCTCCTACCTATTACCACTTATCACAACTGAACATGAATGGCAGTTATAGACATAGGGCTTAATAAAGTTTATGGGAGAAATGTTATAGCTACTATATCTTTATGGGGAAAAAATCTTTTCTTTCTTGGTTCTATTCTATTCCCTTAGTCATTTATCAAGCTAACATATTCCTAGTGACAATTATACTTTTTTTACTAAATAAAGTAGTTCATAAAAACAACAGGGATTCTAATGCTAGGCAATTGAACTTAGGTAAAATTGTAAGGTTGTTTTTTAATGAGGTATAATTAACAAATATTAAGAATGTTTTCACTATCAGCCTTCTTTCTCTGTACATAATTTCCCATGGGATCTTTTAATCTATTATGTCTAAGTAACCTTCACAAGTTTGGAGTAGGTCAGATCTATTATTTTAAAGTAACTTCCAAAAGTTTGGAGTTGGGTAGACCTTACTGTGCCTTCCATTCAAAAACTCAGACTGTCTGCTAGAAAATCTTAGGATAGCAGAATACACAGAATGGGGAAAAAGTAGGTTTACAATTGTGAGTATGCAAAACAGAGTTTACAAAACAGAGTTTATTCTTGTATTGTTATTTATTATCTTATTGTTGTTATTTTTCATATGAGCAACTGTAAACCTACTTTTGCCTACCTTATATAGTCAGAAACTTAAAATGCTTTGTGCAAGGTTCTTTTACTTTCATTCTATGCATGAATTGGAAAAACACACATTTCTGTGTTTTTTTTCTTTCTAGGCTGTATGCTATTGGTGGACGTGATGGAAGTTCCTGCCTGAAATCAGTGGAATACTTTGATCCACACACTAACAAATGGAGTCCATGTGCTCCAATGTCCAAAAGACGTGGAGGTGTGGGAGTTACAACATACAATGGATTCTTATATGCTGTTGGGGGTCATGATGCCCCTGCTTCTAACCATTGCTCCAGGCTTTCTGACTGTGTGGAACGGTAAAATATTTATATTTATTTATATATGTATTTACTTGGTTATTTTTTTTAGAAAAAAATAGGCTACCAGAATATAGTTTTCTAAATAAGTGTTAATCATTTCAGAGGAGGGATTCCAGAAAATGGCGACCAGCAGGAAGGTAGGGAGGGAGAGAGTGTGAGAGCGCAAGGAAGTGATAGAGGAGTGTGTGGAAGTGTGTGGTGTGTGTATATGAGCTAGGGACAGTTAGATTCTGCAGGTCTTCTAAGGGGCTGCTAAACCGGGCAGTCTTAGGCAGCGGAGTCCCGCTGCTCCCCGCGCGGACACTCCTGGGCGGCCAGCACAGGCTCAGCGACCACGCCATCTTTGGAAACAGAGCTGCTTGAGACTAGGATCCTGGCCTCAGCACCACCCAGTCTGATCGCAGACGCATACCAGGACCCTGCAGCCACTGGGGACAGAGACCTGTGACCACAGCTACAGACCTGCGGACACCAAAAGTTCAGAGATCCCCGCTGCAGATCCGTGAGTAACAGAGCCCATCCCCCCTTCCCACAGGCTCGTGGGCAGTGCTGAGTAACTAACTGTTAGACCCACCCCTTGCCGAGGCCTCAGTGCGGCAGGAACTTTGGCCTGGAAGTGCGCGAGCACCCTGGAACTGATCCTTTGTGCACTGCCGGCTTCGGAGCCCTGGGCTGGTTGCAAACCAAACGCGCGAGCACCGGGAACTGATCCTACGCCCACTGCGGGCTTCAGAGCCCTGGGCTGGGAGCAAACGCGCGAACGGGAATTTGTCCGCGTAGCACAGTCCCAGGGACCCCGTTTCTCGGGGCAGGAGGCAGCACCAAGCACCAGTGACTTGACTGTGTTTCTTATCACCTGTGCCTGAGATCCTGATTCCCTGTGCATTCATACTAAGAGCCAGTGAATCCATTTCCTGGTGCAAGGGCACACAGGGGCCCGGATTCTCAAGGCGAGGTCGCGCAAAGCAGCAGAGACTCTGATACTGGTCTCTTGGGGAACTCTGACTCCTGGCGCATGCTAGGGGGCTCTGGTTTTCAACACGGTGCAGGCAGGGTCCCTGATTCTAAGGGCACATATGAGGCCACATTGAGCGCTGGCAACACTGACTCAGAGCGAGCCTGGCTCCCACCAACCAACAACAACCACACAGCTTAGTGTCAGAGCTCTTCAGTGACACTAGGGTGGTGGGAGGCTCCCACTGCACACAGCCCAGGCCCACGCAACTCGACCTTTGAACCATCGGGAGATAATCAGAATGAAGAAACGACACAACACCCAGAGGAAAGACAATGAGGAATCACAAAGAAAGGAGATTAATGAAGTTGAAGCATGCAACATGACAGAAAAAGAATTCAGAATAATGGTTGTACAATTCATTCACCGGATGGATGAGAAAATCAACAACCTATGCAAGAATCAGGAAGAAATGAAAAGTGATATAGCTACAATCAAAAACACCATGGAAAGTTTCAACAGCAGACTAAAAGAAGCAGAAGACCGAATTAGTGAGTTAGAAGATAAGGTAGAAAAACAAGCTCAATCTGAACAGCAACTGGAGAAAAAAATTAAAAAACAGGAGGAGAGCCTAAGGGAGCTTCAGGACAACATGAAATGAAGTAACATACGCATAATAGGGCTGCAAGAAGGACAAGAAGAACAGCAAGGATTAGAAAATCTATTTGAAGAAATAATGACAGAAAACTTCCCAGATATGGGGAAGAAAAAAGTTACACAAGTACAGAGAGTCCCAGGCAAGATGAACCCCAAAAGACCGACACCAAGACACGTCATAATAACGATGGCAAATGTACAAGACAAAGAGAGAATCTTAAAGGCTGCAAGAGAGAAACAGAGAGTTACCTACAAAGGATCCCCCATCAGATTATCAAACGATTTCTCAACAGAAACACATCAGGCCAGAAAAGAATGGACAGAAATTTACAAAGTGATGCAAAGCAAAGGACTGAATCCAAGAATACTCTACCCAGCAAGGCTATCATTCAAAATTGAAGGGGAAATAAGAAGCTTCACAGACAAAAAAAGGCTAAGGGAGTTTATCACCACCAAGCCAGCAATGCAAGAAATGATGAAGGGACTGGTGTAAAAAGAAGAAATAAAAAGCCCAGAAAGAAAACAGCCACAAAAAAATAGAAATGGCTACAAACAAGTACCTTTCAATAATAACTTTAAACGTTAATGGACTAAATGGCCCAATCAAAAGACATCAAGTGGCTGAATGGATAAAAAAACATGACCCATACATTTGCTGTCTACAAGAGACCCACCTCATTAGAAGG